ACAATGTTAATTCAATACTGTTTTCCTTACTGAGCATATAAAACTCACTTTTTCTATGCCCCCCCAGATGAGGAAGAAGGTAAGGAACCGCAGGCTGACCTACCCTTAGAAGTCTATGAGGATCCCTTGGAAGTTTATAAGGATCCTGTGGATCCACAAGTCTGAGTGCATGTATGTTCCTGCACGCTAATGAGTCTAATAATAAAATGAAAGTAGTGGCCTTTATGTTTTCATTTTTTTATAGCCACTTCAGTCCTCAATATATGTATGTATTGGAACTCATATATATTTTTGTAAGGGATTTGTAATAATTTTGTTCTGCTACATAAATTTTATCATGCACTCGTTATTCTATATCTGTATCTAACACTCATTTGCCTTAATTAGCACTTGGGATGTTATATCCATCTCTGAGGGCAGATATAGATTTCTGACTATCCATATAGAATGGTCAGATTAGATATATAACAGCAATTTGGTCAGACATATTTCTTGCTTACCAAATAATGGTACAATCTATGACTATGGTCATATCAACCACAGTGGTCCTATCAGATATTCTATAGTCATGGCAGTACTTAGGCAAAAGTGACCTCTAACAGATATTCACGTCACTGCTCTCATTAGAGGGTACGCCATCATCCATAGGGAGCGACCCTCTAACATTTTTCCAGACTAGATTGGGGAGGGGGAAATAGAAACCTCTCAGAGATAAAAAGCCTAACGAGGCACTTGATGCGTTATGTATGTCAATACAATTACATTTATTTTTTGAACCAATTCAAGCTCATTTCCTCTCTCTTTTTTTTGTATATTTTTCAGACAATTATCACCAGATTCATGTTACTTAATTAACATATAAATCATCAAGTGCCTATAAGATCACATAGCATGCTTGAAACCAAGATCAAATCACTTTATTGGAACTATTAAACATAGATCATGCCAAACACAAAATATAAACTTCATAATTTTGATTTTCTATAATGCTACTTAAGATGTTTAAGGAAATAATGAATTCTTTACAGAAACCTTGAAGTTTTTTTGTACCTTTCTTCTACTTCTCCTCTCTTTCTCTCTGCAGATCAATCATTCTCTCTTTAAACTTAAGGAGGAGGGTAGGGAATTCAAACCTGAACTTTATTTACGATTCATTATTTCTATCTCATTAGCTCTTATTTCATTTTGTATTTTAGCATATCCATTTATGCACTCAACCTATCCCTTTTTCTTATATCTATACCCCTTTTTTTCATTTTCATGGACAAATTTCACATATTTTCATATCTAGGATTTATATATACAACATATATTAATATCACGGGTGAATTTATTATTTTTCAGATATTTCGATTCAAAAAAAGTAAAGGATTAGAAACATGAAAAATAAGTATTGGGTTGCATTATATATATGAAAGAATATACAATAATGATGTATTTAGCGAATCAAATATTATGGTCTAATTCTAATAAGGAACCATTCTAATTTGTTGATAATATTAGTTGATAATTTTGTGAAAGATTCCTGTGAAAAGGTTTCATTAAATTAATTCATAATTCATGTCGAGTAGACCTTGTTGTTTTGTTGCGAGAATTCTTAATTCATGAGTTTTAGGGACGGACTTATGTCACAACAAATAGAGACTAAAGCAAGTGTTGGATTCAAAGTTGGTGTTAAAGATTATAAATTGACTTATTATACTCATGACTATCAAATCAAAGATACTTATATCTTGGTAGCATTCCGGGTAACTCTTCAACCTAGAGTTCCACCTGAGGAAGTAGGGGTCGTGGTAACTGTTGAATCTTCTACTAGTACATGGACAATTGCATGGACCGATGGGCTTACCAGCCTTCATCATTACAAAGGACGATGCTACGCCATCGAGCCCGTTGTTGGAGAAGAAAGTCAATTTATTGCTTCTGTAGCTTACCCCTTAGACCTTTTTTAAGAAGGTTTTGTTACTAACATGTTTACTTCCATTGTGGGTAATGTATTTGGATTCAAAACCTTGCGCATTCTACGTCTAGAGGATTTACGAATTCCTCCTACTTATATTAAAACTTTCCAGGGACCACCTCATGGTATCCAAGTTGAAAGAGATAAATTGAACAAGTATGATCGTCCCCTATTAGAATGTACTATTAAACCTAAATTGGGGTTATCCGCTAAAAACTACGGTAGAGTGATTTATGAATGTCTACGCGATGGACTTGATTTTACCAAAGATGATGAGAATGTGAACTCCCAACCATTTATGCGTTAGAGAGACCGTTTCTTATTTTGTGCCAAAACTATTTATAAAGCACAAGCTGAAACCAGTGAAATCAAAGGGCATTATTTGAATGCTACTGCAGGTACATGCGAAGAAATGATCAAAAGGTTGTATTTGCCAAAAAATTGGGAGTTCCTATCATAATGCATGACAACTTAACAGGGGAATTCACCACAAATAATAGCTTGGCTCATTATTGCCGAGATAATGGTCTACTTCTTCACATCCACCGCACAATGCATGCAATTATTGATAAACAGAAGAATCATGGTATGCACTTCCGTGTACTAGCTAAAGCCTTACATTTGTCTGGTGGGGATCATATTCACGCTGGGACCGTAGTAGGTAAACTTGAAGGAGAAAGAGACATAACTTTGGGCTTTATTGATTTACTACGTGATGAGTTTGCTGAAAAAGATAGAAGCCGTGATATCTTTTTCTGGATCGCGAATAGTGATTCGATTGATGATAAAAAAAAAAGAATTTTTGGTTCAGTTCTCCACCTCAACGGCAGAAAAAATGATTGATCAAATTCTATTGAGTGTGACTCATAGTGATCATTTATCAAAGAATGACTCTGGTTATTAAATAATTAAACAACCGAGAATAATTTACTTACGATACTTAGTTGACATTCATAAAAAGTATCTAATGAATTATGAGTTCAGTACATCATGTTTAGTAGAAAGATGAATATTCCTTGCTCATTATTAGACAATCACTTATTCACAAACTTCGTGTGGGGCTAATAGTTTTCATTTCCCGTCTCATGAAAAACCTTTTTCGCTCTGCTTAGCCCTATCCCCCTTTAGGGGTATTTTAGTGATAGGTTCTATAGGAATCAGACGATCCTATTTGGTTAAATACCTAGCGACAAACTCTTATGTTCCTTTCATTATAGTATTTCTGAACAAGTTCCTAGATAACAAGCCTAAAGGTTTTTTTTATTGATGATATTGATATTTATGTTAATGACAATATTAATGCTAGTGACAATATTGATACTAGTAATGATATTAATAATAGTGACGATATCGATCGTGAACTTGATACGGAGCTAGAGCTTCTAATTATGATGAATACGCTAACTATGGATATGATGTCGGAAATATACCGATTTTATATCACCGTTCAATTCGAATTAGCAAAAGCAATGTCTCCTTGTATAATATGGATTCCAAACATTCACGATCTGGATGTGAATGAGTCGAATTACTTATCCCTCCGTCTATTAATGAACTCTCTCCCCAGGGATTGTGAAAGATGTTTCAACTAGAAATATTCTTGTTATTGCTTCGATTCATATTCATAAAAAAATGGATCATGCTCTAATAGCCCTGAATAAATTAAATACATGCATTAAGATACGAAGGCTTCTTATTCCACAACAACGAAAGTACTTTTTCACTCTTTCATATACTAGGGATTTCACTTGGAAAAGAAACTATTCCATACTAAAGGATTCGAGTCCATAACCATGGAACCAGAATCGAATAAGCTTATTGGGTAAATCGTGACGTTTTTTCTATTTTTATTTTATTTCCTAATTACCTTGTTTTGCTTTCACATATTGAGTATGTGTCAAGTAAATAGAGTTTATTTAGGAATTTAAGATTTTTGCATGTTGATGTTATATGCGGGGATCAAAATGTTGGTCTTAAGTTTCGTATCAGGTAGCCTTCCTATGGGTTTTTGGTTGTCTGGGGGATTTTTACTTCTTGCAGGACTCTTGTGTCTTCAAGAAATACTTCCCTCGGTTATCCTTGCTCACATCACATTCTAGTCTATCTAAGAGTAGAAATTCTAACAATATTTTAGGATAATAAATTAAATGTGATAATAAAATGGAACGAGGTGAAGAAGTATAGTAATACTTCACCATATTAAGTAGCATTCATTCAAGAGTGAAGTGATATATATATATATATATCAATGTGCATCCATAATAATTAGATAATGCTCACTCAATAAATTAGCTGACAGTAGATTTCCAATACTAATACTTCCATAATGAAATATAAAAAGAAGCAAGCAAACGTACAAAAATCTAAAAATCTAATTCACTATTCTTTTGGTTTGTCAAAGAATTAGGATGAACAACAATTATTTTTGAGTTAGAGCTTGAAAAACCACTTACACACGTAAAGAATATAAAACTAAGGGCTCTGGTCTCTTGTCTTTCC